AGACACTGCATATTTTCAAACAGTAATAATTCTTTAGGTATAATTCTAGAACTCTAGAGTTTGGTTTGTTAAGTATCTGCACACAATATTTGGAATGCAAAACATAATCTAACTACACTGAAACACTGCCTTGCAAGAGCAAATTCAGGTTGTGGGTGCTTTCAGGATGGAAGCCAAAACAGGATCACTGAGAAACATAAAAGGAAAGTTTCAGTATGCCAAAGGGAGAACTCTGAAGTTTACGGAAGAACAAAGATCTTTCCAAAGAAACCTGAGGGACTTCAGAGGTAGAATGACTTATTTGGATGGCTTAAATAGAACTGAAAAACATAAACTTGTTAAAGATGGTGAAAGGTCACACACTTAGTTTTGTAAACTCAAACCAGCATCAAAATGTTTACCTCATGAATGCTGCACATTGCACATTCATCAACTGAAGTAGATTTCCTGCTAAAATCATACATTAGTTTAACAGATGTTTATGATTATGATTAAAATAAAATGTCTCTTTGGTCCAATAACTGTTTATTTCCTTGCAATGTGATAATGAGCTTTAGATGCAAAGAATAAGAGGGCATGTTTAACATCATGGGTACTGGTATAAACTAGCTTAGTCTAGAATGCTGACCTCCTTCAGAGTAAATCAGTAGCTCCAGGTTTGTTTTTAAACTTTTTCCACTTGTAGATAGGGCATGTCAAGTAACTCTATTTTTGTAAAAGTCTAAACAGTATTACATTAATCACACAGTTATCCATACATAACATATTCCCAGCATGTGAAGGAATCTGCCACAGTAACTGTTTTATTTACAATCCTGCATGCTGTGTGTACTTCATATGACTGGGACAGACTTTTTTTGGTTATCTATGATGATGTGGACAGGACCCTTGGAGAGGTGAAGACTACCACATGCCTTACCCGTTTTGGCTCATAAAAGCTGTGAGAAAGGGACTGATTGAGTGGGTAGGAGAATAATTACTGACCAGCATTTAATATTCCATTCTTGGAGAAGGTGCTAGAGCAAGTTGTGGCTTCTCAGCTCCAGGGGTTCCTGGATGAGATAGATTATCTAGATCCATTTCAGTCTGACTTCAGGCCTGGTTATGGGACAGAGACTGCTTTGGTCACCTTGGTGGATGATGACCTGTGCCAGGAACTGGATAGGGGGAGTGTGTCCCTGTTGGTCCTGCTGGAACTGTCAGACACTTTCAATATGGTTTCCTTCTGGCCCACCTCTCTGAGATGGGACTTGGAGGCACTATTTTACAATGGCTCCAGTATTTCCTGTAGAAAAGAGCTCAGAAGATGGTGCTGGGAAATTTTTGTTCAACACCCTGGCTGCTTAGCCCCCAGGAACTGGATAGGGGGAGTGTGTCCCTGTTGGTCCTGCTGGAACTGTCAGACACTTTCAATATGGTTTCCTTCTGGCCCACCTCTCTGAGATGGGACTTGGAGGCACTATTTTACAATGGCTCCAGTATTTCCTGTAGAAAAGAGCTCAGAAGATGGTGCTGGGAAATTTTTGTTCAACACCCTGGCTGCTTAGCCCGCTCCCCCGTGCTTTTTAACATCTACATGAAACTACTGAGAGAGGTTGTCCAGAGTTTTGGAGTTTGGTGTCACCACTTCCCATCTCATTCCAAGGAAGCTGTCTTGGTTCTAAACCAATGCCTGGTATCAGTAATGGTCTGGAGATAAGGGCAAAGAAATTGAAACTTATACCAGACAAGACAGAAGTGTTCCTGGTCAATTGGAAGACAGACGAGGGATGTTCTGGATGTGGTTAAAATCCCCCTAAAAACACAGGAGTGAAGCTTGGGGGTGCTCCTAGATTAATGTTTGAGTTTGGATGCCCAGATTTCTGTGGTGTCCAGGAGTGCATTTGTACAATTAAAATTTGTACAATCAGATCCCTGGAGAGATCTGATCTGGACACTGTGATACATCCCAGTTGGATTACTATAATGTGCTCTATGTAGGACTGCCTATGGAAGGTGTCAGAAAACTTCAGCTAGTTGAAAATGCAGCAGCCAGATTCCTGTCTGGAGCTGCTTATAGGGATCACATAACCCCCCTGTTACAGCAGCTCCACTCAATGCCAATCTGTTTCCAGGTACAATTCAAAGTACTGGTTCTAACCTATAAAGCCCTAAATGACTTGGGTCCAAGTTATCTCAAAAACGTATCTATTATGAGCCTGCTCAGGTGTTAAGATAATCAGGAAAGGCCTTTTTCTCAGTCCCTTCACAAGTGCATTTAGTGGAGATACAGGAGAGGGCTTTCTCTCTTACTGCTCCCAGATTTTGGAACTCTTTCCCACAGAAGGCCAGACTGGCCTCATCTTTGTTTCCCTTCTACAAGCAGTCAAAGTCGTTTTTCTTCAGGCAAGCTTTCCCTCAGCGACTGAGTGGGATTTTTAAATAGATTGTTATGCCTTACTGCTTTGAATGTATTTTAGTATTGCTTTTGTTTACCAATTCTCAGAGTCTGTTTGATCTTTTTTGATCATTTGTACGTTTATTATTTGTTTATTATTACTACTTTATTTTTCTTTTGACATTTTGAGCCCCTAAGAATTTTGCACCCCGGGCAACCACCCTTGTTGGGTGGGGGGGACTCATGCTGTGCCACTGTTATGGAGCAAATCTCTTTTGGTATCCGTCATTCTGTTCTGCAGACTTGATCCCATAATCTTTGGTGGAAGATTTGAACCTTTTCCCTCAGAAATTTTATCATTTTAGTGTCTGAAAATACAATATGTGCAGATGTGCCCTTATCAGTTGTTGTCTCTGTATAATTAAACGTGTGTGGGGGTGTCCCTTCATGTTTTAAACTGCACCTGATTGATGAACTGAAAATTAAAGTCAGTTAGAACACAGTATTTTATATGTCTACTTAGAAATAAGTTCCACTGAGTTCACGGAGTCCAAATAAATGGTAACAGCTTTGCAGCCTCAATTATTCAATACTTAACAAGAATGGGAAGGAGAAAGAATGCAGCACAATGCAACAGTTGATGTAACAGACTCAATATATGGTTTTTAAAAGTCCAACAGTGCAATATGTTGGAAGTCCCATATATGCAGTGGGGTTTTGCCATGTATGTGAGTGTAGTTTTGCAGTTTAAGTGTCTTCTAACCACAGTCTCTGTCCCTCTACATAAAATCTCCAGGAAAATATATCTACATCTTATAGTTGATAAATAAACTCCTTTCCTTGTTGTCAGTTCTAAGAACTGTCAGATAACCTATATAACTAAAATACAAATACTGTACTTGGACACAAAAATAAAGAAAATCTTTAGAGAAAAGATAGACTATAATATAACTAATAAAAAATAAATCTAGGCACAGGAGGATGAACACAGGAGTTACTTGTAAGTAAATCTGCACTGGTTTACACTGCACTTTGCAGTCCTATAACACTTTCCCATATAAGGTTGCCTCACTAAACATGGTGCATGAGTACAGTGTAGACCTTTAAATGAATGAGTGCAAACCTGATAGCATTTATTATTAAATTAGACATATAACAGGTTAAAACATATCAAACCAACAGATAATGAATAAGAACAATTTGGAACAAGATGGTAGTCATCTTGTGTTCTGTACTAGACACCAGATAGAGGCTTCATGTGTCTCAGGTAAATGAATTTTGAGTTTTGGGAACTAGTGCTGGAATCCATTTGAGAATCATTCATTTAAAAAGGTGGAGGATACGGACATGAAATTACAAGAATAGGGAGTGGCATGGAGGAAGAGAGAAATGGACTTTTCAAATTGACATCTTTGTTTCTGTCCAAGGTTCAAATCAGGGTTACGAGAAGAGCGAAGTAAAATAATGGGTGGGATTTTTCTAAATGTTTCTGGTTAGGCTTTATTTTAATCCCAATAGTTAACACTAATCTAAGTGTTAAAAATTCCCATCCTCTAACTTCATTTTAACTGAATTTGATTTTTGGACTCAGCAACAGTTAACTAAACTGTTAATTATTTTCTAGTAGCTTTTCTAAGAAACGAAGTGGATTGTAATCCAAGGAGGTTTAGGCTGAGATAAATCTACCAGTCCTAAGGGTACCAGGCTCCTTTTAGTTTTGGTCTTGATCTTCGTTTTGCTTTTCACTCTTTTTGCAACACTGCCTTGCCCTAAGAAAGGTATCAGGCTACTGCAGTTGTTTTGGACTTTTATCTTTCTTAACTGGGCTTAATTTTTTTATCTGCAAATAAGCACCCAAATAAAAGGGACGTGGTGGTGCTGCAGGCTAAACCGCAGAAGCCTCTGTGCTGCAAGGTCAGAAGACCAGCAGTCGTAAGATTGAATCCACACGACAGAGTGAGCTTCCGTCACTTGTCCCAGCTCTTGCCAACCTAGCAGTTCGAAAGCATGTAAATGCGAGTAGATAAATAGGTACCACCACGGTGAGAAAGTAACGGCGTTCCGTGTCTAGTCACGCTGGCCACGTGACCACAGAAACTGTCTACAGAGAAACGCTGGCTCTACAGCTTGGAGATTATGATGAGCACCCCGCCCTAGAGTCGGACACGACTGAACTAAATGTCAAGGGGAACCTTTACCTTAAACACCCAAATACCAACATGAATTTGACCCAATTCCGGGAGGCCGTGGAAGGCAGGAGGGCCTGACGTGCTCTGGTCCAGGGGGTCACGAAGGGTTGGACACGACTTAACGACTAAACAACAAAAAACACCCAAGATTACTAAATGGGGTTTCACAATGCAGGCCTGACTGGATTTGTGTCCCAGAGGGTCTGAGTGTCTGGACTCTGCACTGCCCAGGGTGCCCAGTGAAAAGGCAGAGAGGGTGTCCTTGGAGCTTCTTCCCTCCCTTGAACTGCTTCTCAGCTGCTTTTGCTCTTCTCAGGATGAGGCCAGGCACGCCCTCCACCGACCCAACCATCCTTCCTCCTCCGTCGCCCTGAGGCGCGCTCTCTCCCAAGCCCTTCCTCTCCTCACACGCCTTCCCTCCTTCCTTCCGATCGGCCTTTCTCTCTTCTCCACCTCTCATCGCAGCACGTCAAGAGAGGGCGGGCGGGAGCCCCAGAGGGGGCGCGGTTAAAAACCGCCGCCAACCAACAGAGAAGAATTTTTAATGCTCCGAGGAGGCAGAGAGGGAGACTCGGAGCCGTCGTCGCACCTGGAGTGGACGACCGCCGCCCACCGACACCAGGAGGAGCGCCGGCCACTTCAGGAGAGCGCGGGGGAGCCTGGCCCCGGCGGTGATCTGAGTCTGTTCCATTATTTTTTCCCGCCCTCCCATTCCATGGTGCGCCTCGCTTGGTGGGGCACTCAGGGGCTTTGATTTCCCTCAGACTCTGACAGGTGAGACGGCCCGCGCTTTCTCTTCTTGCCTCAGTTTGTGTGGCTCCCGCCCTGGGAAACGGGGAGACCTAGGGCAGCGCTACCCGGCCCGAAGCCTTTTCCAGCCCCAAAGGGAAAGGGACGGAGCTTCGCTTCTCCACGCCACTCCCCGACTTGAGTGGGGCCAAGGGTTTTTAAGACGCCGGAGCCGAGCGCTCGGCGCTCTCCCTTTGTTGCCTTGTCAGCGGATTTCTTATTTCTTCTCGGGGGTGAGGGTCCCAGGTTAGAGACGTGACATTTTCGTTCCTAGAAGGCCAAATCTGTGTAGAAGTCTGTCCTCCTAACCCTAAACAAGGGCAGCTTGAGCGAAGAAGCGCGCTCTCTACATGCACAGAGACCTTTAAAATGTTTTACGAATTATTAGAGGATCGAAAACAGACTTGGGTGGAGGTTGAACCCATGTTTTAGGGACTGGGCTGGACTTTAAACGGAGCAGTGATTTTACAGGGCTCAGGTCGAGGAGGAGGTTTCAGTTGCCCAGGGAAAGGAGAGGAAGGGAGAGGGGAATGAATGAGGTAGCTAGAGGTACTTGTGGAGCTAGATCTCGTGCTCAGATGGTCTGAGTCATCTGAAGGAAGGAAGGAAGATTTTTTTTTTGCTACACTCTGGATCTTTTTAGAAATAATGCAAAACTGTAATAATTATTTTAGGACAGCAGAACTGGAAGGGACCCTTTGGATCCAGACCCTCTCAAGGAGGCAGAGTGGGGAATGAAACTCCCAACCAGATACTGCACCTAAACCACTGGCCTATGTAACAGTTCTAGATGGAGCATGTCTTTATCCAACGGGAACTCTTTGTATGGAGCCTTTCCTAACTTTGTGAAAAAATAAAAAATTCTGGTTAGGAAAAAAAAATCCCAGTGTAGTACATACACAGGACACACACCAAATTGTTCATGAAAACAGGATTTATGCATGAAAGTTTATGCAATGAGCTTACCTTACGTGGTAAGGAAAAGTGTTGTTTTCCTAACTAGGTTTTTCATTTGTTTCTTTTCTTTTTTAAATCCTCTATTAAAATCATTCCTAAATGTCTTTGGAAGCTAAATAATAATCTCCCACATGTTTCCTTTCCAGAATTTTTCCACTCCATTGTAATGATCAGTTGAATCTTAGTGGGATTTCTTTTGTTTATTTAGTAGTAAAGATTAGGCATAAAGAGGGCAGCATATCTGATTTTACTCTTCCAAAAAGTTGACTGGATTGTAATTGACTTGCACAACAGGTTTGGTAAACATGATAGTAAAAGAGATGGCATCTTGTAGAATCATGTCTTCAATTGGTCACTTTTCCTTTGTTTCATTTTCTTCTGATCCCTCATCTAGGTGATTATGCTGATAATCCCAGAGACAAATGGTGGGTTTATTAGTAACAGGGCCATTTTGTTAAGAGAAATCTGATTCCTCCTTTTGCCTTCTATCGGGTAATGGAAGTCAGAATGCCACATTCAAATTACCAAATCCAAGCCATAAAAACTGGGTTCTTAATCCCTACTTCTGATGTCTCTTGTAATACTAAAGACATGAATGTTTGTCTGCCTAGTCCTCAAATTATATTCCTGTTCATTTTGCCAAGAATGCACTTACACACCTCATAGCAGGTTAGATTACTAAACTTTAAAACATCTAATTTATTTTTTTACCACCTCATACAGAACAGGCACATTTTAATTATGGGTGGATTAATATTTCTGTTCTGCTCTCTGTTTGTACCTTAGAATTACAGTATCATAGAAGAGACCTTGAAGATAGTTTAGCCTGGACCCCACACTCAGTGGAGTAAATTACACCAGATTTGGTTTCTGTACAGTGGTTACTGCTTCATTCCTATTTTGGCTTCATTATGTTTGTCAAAATGGTATTTGCTTCTCTCGGTTCATGCAAGTATGACTATCCTATATTCTAATGATGCTGAAGTTTTGATAAAATTAATATTTGTAAGCTTTGGGTCTTGGGAAGACAGAGATGCATATCACTCCACAATCACTACCTCACTAATTGGGTTTTGGCAGAACATTAGCCCTGATCCAGGGAAGAAGCAAAAAGATGTAAGCATTTTTGACAGCACTGATGTTTTATCAAAAATATTGTAAAAGGATCTGACTGCTGGATAGCTCAGTGATTTAGTTCCCTCTCTGAAGAGCCTGAAGTAGGGAGTTGAATTCCACACTGTGCCTCCTTGACAAGGGCTGGACACTATGATCCATAGAGTCCCTTGCAGTTCTGCAGTTCTTCTTCTTAAAGGAATGACAAATATAAATGAATTGTATTCCCTTTCCTTCTTCAAGGAGATTATAGCCTTTATCAAGCTGGCAGCTCTAACCATCCATTAAACAGCATCATATTACAGCCATCAACACTATAATATTTTTTATTTTTGTTTTTCTGTCCATTGTACTGTCCTTTTAAAAAAGTTTTTGAAAGGGATCTGCTTCTGCATTCAAATTGCTTTGTTGAGTTGGAGTGGCTCGTAATGTATTATACTGTAGTGTTGAAACAACAGTAATTCATCTCACCTGACAGAGGCTGAAACTACATCTTATTTGCTACAATACGATTCACAGCATGTGTTGGCTGAACTAAAAGAAAGTGATCTCTCTCTATATATATATCAAATAAAGTGGACTCTATATAGAGAGAGTCCCATGCTATAACTACAGCAAAGTCTATGGTATTTGATAATGTAGTCACAGCCAGAGTTCTTGGCAAGGTCCATTTAATAAAGTTTGGAAAGACATATCCATTTCAATAGTCTACTGGTTTCCAGTATTCTATTCTTGGGCAAGGTACTGGAGTCTGTGGTGATTTTTCAGCTCCAGGAATTCATAGAGGAGATGACTTTTCTATATCCATTTCAGTCTTATTTCAAACCTGCATATAGCACAGAGTTGGCTTTGGTCTCCTTGCTAGATAATTTATGCAGGGAATGAGACATGATAAGTGTGTCCTTGTTAGTTCTGCTGGTCCTCTCAGTGGCTTTTAATATGATCAATCATCTGGGTTACCTCTCTGGGATGGGACCTGGGAGAGCTGTTTTGCAATGATTCCAGTATTTCCTGGAGGACAGTTTCAAAGGGTAGTGTTGAGGAACACCTGTTTTTCACTCTGGCACATAGCCTGTGAGATTTCTCAGGGTTCAGTCCTGTCCCCCATGTTATTTAACATATGCATGACACATCTGTCCAAAGTTTTGAGATTTGGTGTCATTGATATGCTAATGACACCCTTCTCTCTCTCACTCTCCCATTTTACTGCTAGGAGCTAAACCAGTGTCTGGTATCCATAAAGGATGGAATGAGAGCTAACAAATTGAAGCTTAATTCATATAGGACAGTGAGGATGAACACTCAGGTTTTAGAACTACCTAAGAAGGTGTTTGCACAATTACAGTTAGTGTACCAGCTGTGCCCATTCCTGAAGATGTGTCATTTGGCTATGGTGACACATTTCTTAATTACGTCCTGCTTGATTATAATGTGCCGTAAATTGTGTTGCCTTTGAGGAATGTTTGGAAGCTTTAGTGGGTCCAAAATGCTGCAGTGAGACCAGGATTGGTTATAAGGAATATATAACTGTATCAGTGTCACTGACTGCCAGTGCATTTCTGGACCGAGTTCAAAGTGGACTGGGTCCAGAAATGCACTGGCAGTCAGCATTTGTACAAAACACTGGTAAAGCCACACCTGGGGTATTGAGTACAGTTCTCAAAAAATACATAGTGGAACTGGAAAAGGTGCAGAAGAGAGCAACTAAAATGATTACTGGAATGGGGCACCTCCCTTATGAGGAAAGGTGCTTGGGGCTCTTTAGTCTAGAGAAAAGGCACCTGAGGGGGGACATGATTGAGACATATAAAATTATGCAGGGGATGGATAAAGCAGATTGAGGGAAGCTCTTTTCCCTCTCACACAATACCAGAACTAGGGGGCATCCACTCAAATGGAGTGTTGGGAGAGTGAGAACAGACAAAAGAAAATATTTCTTTACCCAGCGTGTTGTTAGTGTGTAGAACTCCTTGCCACAGGATGTGGTGATGGCATCTGGCCTAGATGCCTTTAAAAGGGGATTGGACAGATTTCTGGAGGAAAAGTCCATTGCAGGTTACAAGCCATGATGGGGATGTGTAATCTCCAGGCTTAGAACAAAGGTACCTCCAAATGCCAGATGCAGGGGAAGGGGTATCAGGAGAGAGGTATCTAGTTGTCTTGTGTGCTCCCAGAGGCATCTGGTGGGGCCACTGTGAGATACAGGAAGCTGGACTAGATGGGCCCTTCGCCTGATCCAGCAGGGCTCTTCTTATGTTCTTAAGTACTGGTTATATGATCAGGCTAAACAGAAAGTTTTAACAGGTCATGCTCTGCCTTTATGTTCTTCTTTACACTCCTTTTTAAGGCACATATGTATTTTGCTGTTTTGTTTCTAAATTGTTTTAAGTTTGCCTTTTAATATATGTTTCATAGCATTCAGAATATTTTAACTTGTACTGTTGTCCCGTCTCCCCAACATCATTTATTTTGTAAGCCTCCTGGGGTCCCTGAATTGGGAGGAAGATGACATATAAATGAAATGAAATGTATAATAAAATAATTTAATAAATGAGGGTTAGAGTTAGGGTTACTTATTAATAAATAAAAGGAGTCTGGCGAGTTATTTCAGTCTGGAGCCATGATGTCATTTTAATACTGATTCCACAAGTCTGGAACTGAGAAGAGTATGTGGCAATGCAGTTGCATTTAATACCATAAAGAAATGTAATCTGACATCTTGGAAAATTTCTTCTGGTTAGTTTCAGCACCAGCAATAAGGAGTGTTTGTCCATGTTTCTCTTAGTTTCTGTATTTGGAATACAGAAGCTTCAGAGAATTGGTTGAACTATCTCAGCAAAAATAAAAACAATCAGATTTTATGCAAAATGTTCACTATAAAATGTTTATATTAAAATTTATGAGGCTTCCACTTT